GATGGACCAGAGGCCACCGTGATACTTAACGTAAATGGTGAGTAACATGTTTGGCATTCGATGGCTGTGGTTATTTTCTGTCGTGTTTGCTTCTTCCTAATTCGACTTATGTAAACGTTAAGGGTCAAATGAATAATGAAATCATAGGTGGTGTACCGACGTATCTATTAATTGTAAAAGGCAATGCGTTTTAAGACTCGACTTGACAAATTCTATAAAATTGGCAAGTCTGCGAAGAAGCAAAGCCGGGGACAGACGGCTAATTTAGTTTCATTGTTCTTTTCTCTTTAGTTCCAGTCCAGGTTACCGCCTTGCCGCAAAACCTAACAGTAAATGAAACTAATCCTATTCTTGTGAGCTGTGATGCGTCAGGTTTTCCCGAACCTTCTTTCAAATGGCAAAAAGATGGACAAATTTTGTCTCAGCCAAAGCTACTAAGCATTCAAACGAGTGACCGAAGTGATACTGGATTGTATGTGTGTACTGCAAGCAATGGAGTAGGACAAGATAAGACAGCACAAGCTTATGTAACTGTGCAATGTAAGTCTACATTCCATCGTGTCATAAAGTTGTATTAGCTGTTGCAGCACCTTAGCTACCAATTGTAGCAGCTAAGGAACTAGTTTTTTGTGTAACGTAATTACATTGCACAGTCCTTTAACGTACCACCTAGTATATTGATGTTAACACACTGGTTGCTGTAACAATTTACCTAGTCATGAGATAATGAAATAAATACAATCAAAACTTTAAATGGGTTTCATCGGTTAATATTTTAATAAAGCTAAGTAATTATTAATAGTTAATTTAAAATTATAGTTTTCCTCGGTAACGTAATCTGTGTTTGTTTACATTCGCTTTCGTGTATGGGGTAATGTGATTACAGTAATAGTTCAACATATTGCTTTAGATACTAATGCTTTACAATTTCAAATCACAGTGGTAATACAGTATAATAACTAACGTCAAACATTTGAAGTATGTTGAAGAATTTTAAAGTATTTATTAAAATTAATAGCAATCCCAGCTATCAATTCGCGAGCAGCCTTCTAACTTCCTTTTCAAAAGGGCTTAACTAAGTCAAGTATTGACGTATGAAATATTGTATATTTTATTCACAAAGATATTGCTGTGTTTGTTACCAACACTCCAATGTTTGAAGTTAAAGGAATGAAACAATGTAATCCTCTGGAATCCGTTTTTCTGAAACCTTTTGTTGATTATTTAGATTCACCCAAGTCTATTACAGTGCTATAAATTCTGATTGACAGAGGCGGCTTTCTTTTTAGTGAGAAAAAAGACCGGGACGAAGGACAGTCATTCTAAAAGCTTCATTACACTTGAGAACTCTACCTGCTCTATGACATACATTTTATTCTCCTAATTTGCGAAGTTCAAACATATGTATCACACAGTGAATCACTCTCTTTCTCCGGGGTACACATGAAATTGTTTAGACATTTCTTCTTGCTCTTTAAACACGTGTTGTTAGGCTGCAAGGACTTGAGCAAGCATCTACATTTATCCACTTTATCCAGTCGCCATTCCACGTTACAGGTTATGGTACAGTTATCCTTTGATCTCGGAAACAGAGCCTTATTGCATGTTAACCTAGTGGTTGTATGAACTTGCTCACAGATAGTTTCCGATAGCTCTGGTTAGAGGCGGTATCTGAAAGGCGAGGGTGGACTGACATTGAAGAGTCAGATTTTTGTCTTTTCTGAGAAATACATTCCACTATACATATTGTGAAACATTTTTGCTGTTACCAACCATCGTTATCCAGTCTTGTTGATATTGGATGTTATTTTAATTTTTCAGACCCACCCACAATAAAAGAAGCCACTTCATCAACTGATAAGTCTTGGATTGGTCAGACAGTGACGTTGACGTGTGTGTCAGATGGTGTTCCTACACCAACACTCACCTGGTATAAACCTGATGGCA